AAACTGATCTACAAGGAACAGTTTGTCAGGGTGGGAGAAAAAGGTGGTGGCTGCAGATTCCCAAAATAACTTGAGGAAAAGATAGGTCTATGGGAGCAAAGCACAAGAGGCTGTATACAGTAGGAAAAGCAGGTCTGAACATGGAGAAGGAGCACAGAAATATTGAATAGCATGAGGGCAAGACTGAAAATGATTAAACTACCTCCACCCCTTGCCCATGCCATTCCAGCAACAGGAGGGAAAAAAATCAAAGGGAAAAGAAAATAAATTCTTGCCAATATCTTTCTGAAGTAGAGAAGAGCCTCCCGTCTCAAGAATTCTACCTTCTCAATTTCTCGAAGTCTAAATTAGTGCCGGTAATACAAGCTTCCTCCCTGAGCTATTTGCTTGCCAAGATCAAACGTTTTCTCGCTCTTGGTCTGTTGGCAAATGGACTGGTGACTAGTGCCAGGAGAGAATACAAGCTTGCCAATTAAAATTTTTTTGCATGCTGAAAACTTCACTCATTGGAAAAGCCGTCAGACTGGGAGAAAGACAGAACATAAAGGACTAGCTGATACCTTTCATGGCAGCTTTATCTGGAACATTATTGGATACGAATAAAAATAATAAATTTTAGAAATAAGATGTGCAATAGAGAATTGTTTGCTGTCTAGGATAGTCCCTCTCATTTCCCTTTCCTTGTGATTTTTCGCTATCATTAGACATAGCAATGGCAATAGTACTTAGACTTATATGTCGCTTCATAATGCTTTATAGCCCTGTCTAAGCAGTTTACAAAGTCAGTATACTGTCCCCAACAATCTGGGTCCTCATTTTACCAACCTCGGAAGGATAGAAGGCTGAGTCAACCTGAGCTGGTGAGAACAGAACTGCCAAATTGCTGGCATTCTAACTACCGCACCACCATGGGTTGGCCTGGCTTTGCACAATTCAGCCATAAACTAGCTAACCTACCAAAAATATTGTCTAGATTGGCTATTTTGCGAAAGATCTTCAAACTGTTACTTTATTATGGTGGTATTCCGTCATTATGGATCAAGAGACATGCGTGTAGGATATTTGTGCTCCATGTGACACAATAACCTGTATGGGTTAGGTAGGAGCAAGGGGGAATAGAGAAATGAGCACCTACATCACAAAGTCAGAAGCCAGCCTTATCACTCTGCAGCAGTCAGCCCACATTCAGTGGCCCTGAAGAAACTACTCAGGGGAAGTGGGGCAAGAGGAGCAGCAACTTGCTATTTCTGCAAATCTGGGCATTCCCAAGCACAGTCTATTTCCATCTTGACCAGTGTCCAGTGTTTCTCCATGGCTGGAGGATTTTGGGAGTCCACCCATTTTAAAGTTGCTCAGATTAAGAACCACTGCACTTGACAATGGAGGTACCATTTGGCTATATATATATGACCCAATTCTCCTAAAGTTGGAATATAAAATAGCCATTTATTGCACCAAATTATTAACTACTGTACCAGTCGAAGAAGACAATATCCACAGTAGTGGCATTTGTGTAGCATGCTTACTCATGATTAAATAAACATAGTCTATTCAATCTAATTCTCTTGGATTTGCAAAAGCTGCTGAGTTGTCATCCAACCCCATCTCAGGGTTTGCACAGAGATGTATGTTTACTGTGATTAGTACACTAATATGTGATTGGCTAGTTTGTTCATCATTGTCTTGGAGAAAAAGACATGACTTACGGGATATACTGGCTCAGTGAATCGTTTTCTCCCTTAATTTTAATAAGGAACATTTGTCTCTGTGTAAAAATATCAAAGTGGCAGCTGTGAGTGCAGTTCAAATGTACTGTAAAAAAAAGGGGGGTGGGGTTTTGACCACCCAGTCATACTGAATTTTTTGACACTCTCCATCCAGATGTCCCTCATGTTATCCTTATTTCAAAGTCTGGACCTGAATCTTGTCTGTATCTTTCCTTGTATTTTTTAAAATCCCTTTCACAGATAATATTCTTTAATAAGAACAACTTGATCTTATAATCAATCTATAACCATTTTGTTAAGTTGAAGAAAAAAATGTTTTTGATATGGTCTCCTTCGTTTCAAAGATATCCTCTGGGATGAATTCTTCATTCTTCTGGAATTTCACATCTGATTTGACCAAAGTGAAAAAAGTGTATTGTATATTGTGAGAAGATCTCTTTATTATTATTTTATATAGGAAGCCAGCCTATAGCAGAAAAATGAACCCTTGTGCTTTGCAAGTTAGAAGATGACTTTCTACTCTAATAAATGGGTATTTTCCAACTGGCAGCCATTTTGTGAATGCAATGCTTTCATGGCTACCATTTTGTGAATGCACTCGTCACCTGCTGTCTAACTTCAAAATGTTCTCCCTGTTGGTATAGCTTTCCTCTGCTCCAGCTTTCCTCTGCTCCAGGTCTTAGGCATTGGCTTTCCCATCCCTCTGAGTCTTTTAATAGGAGTTTCATGACTGTCTTTGACATATTCTGTGTTCTGACTTTGGAGAGATCAGGTTGGCCAAGTGCTGCCATTTTTCACAATATTATATTCTGTAACCCAAGGGGCTTATTTTTTTTTATCCTCTTGAGCCAATAAAATCAATAAAAATGCAGCTGCAACTGTGTGTTTAAGAGAGAGACCATGAATGTGCCTGTATTACATGTGTGCAATTCAGCTGAGAAAAATAAAATTTTGGTCTGGTCTGGTTATGAAAGCAACGATGTCGCCTAAAAGCTATGTAAGACCAAAAAACATCATGTATTTGGAGGCGGAGAGGATGGGAGGAACCGGATGGATTCAAAATCAGTGGGAATCATTGGGAAACATAATTGCTCTGGCTCCAGCCGAGATCTATCTGAGCAATATAAAGAGGCTGAGAATGTAGGGAATGCAGAGTAATTTGTAAAAGGTGTTTGGCTTCAATGTGAAAACAAGCTGCTTTTATAGTGAGCAGATGGCAGTTTCTCTGCTATTGAAACAATACTGAGAATGATGATGGTGATATTCATGTTTCTCTGCATTACTGTATTGTCTGATAATGGGAGATGTTTCTTATCATCTCAGTGCATGGAAACACTTGGCGCTGATGTAAATCTATTCTGCATCTACTCAGAATGGTTTTACATATCTATATATTGATTTATTCATTCAGATCTAATCTGGAGGGGTCCCTATCACAATTCCTTCCACAATGATTCATAGGATAGTATCCTTGACCAAGACTATGTTTCAGTCAAAGCGATCTACAACCCACTAATCAGATTTAAACAAATAAGCTTAACAAGCAAAGAAATCACTCAATGAGCAAAACAATGCCATGACAGCTGTTCCCAACAGGTCCTGTTTCAGGAGTCATTCAGTTATCCACATCAGGTATATCCACCAGAGGGGGGTATTTGTGTGTGTTCAAGAGAAAAGATGGAGTTGAGGCTACACAATTGAAGCCCACCTCTTTTACATATATTGCATATTTTAAATTCAAAGATAAGAAGGTACTTCAAAGCATGTAAATGCTCATTTTGCACCCATCTGCAACTCCTTAAATCAAATGAATTTCTCCGACCCACCCCAGGATTGTGCTGTGGGTAACTGTGTGATCCAGAAAAGATGCAGATCACAGAAAGATGCAGAAATTTTAACAGAACAAAATTAGAAGAGATCTTGGAGGTCTAGTCCCAATCCCCTCCACAAGCAGGAGATCCTATACCAATATAGACAAATGGTTGTCCAATCTCTTTTTAAAAACCTCCAGTGATAAAAACCCACAACTTCTGAAGGCAAGCTGTTCCACTGGTTGATTGTTCTCAACGCCAGGAAATTTCTCCCTAGTTTTAATCGGTTCTCTCCTTGATTAGTTTTAATCTATTGCTTCTTGTCTTGCCTGTTGGTGCTTTGGTAAATAGTTTGACCCCCTCTTCTTTGTGGCATATTCTCAAATATTGGAACACTGCTATCATGCCATTTGGTCCTTCTTTCCATTAGACATACCCTATTCCCACAACTGTTTTTTATGTGTTTTAGTCTCCTTAATCATCTTTCTTGCTCTTCTCTGCACTCTTTCTAGAGTCTAACATCTCTTTTATATTGTGGTGACCAAAACTGGATGCAATATTCCAAGTGTGGTCTTACCACGGCATTATAAAGTGGCATTAACATTTCACGTGATCTTGATTCTATTCCTCTGTTCATGCAGCCTTGGATTGTATTGGCTTTTTGGGTGGCTGCAGCACACTGCTGGATCATATTTAAGTTATTGTCCACTAAAACTCCAATAACTTTTTGCAGTTACTGAAAATTGAACCAGGTTCTACCTAGTGTATAACTGTACATTTGATTTTTCTTGCCTAAGTGTAAAACTTTATTTTTCTCACCACTGAATTTCATTTTGTTAGATAGGGCTCAGTGTTCAAGTCTGTCAAGATCCTTCTGGATCTTGAGCCTATCTTCTGGGGTATTGGCTAGTCCTGCCAGCTTAGTGTCATCTGCAAATTTGATAAGTTCCCCATATCAATTATATAATTACAACGTTATTATTAATACCAGCTTGGTATTGTCTACAAATTTGATAAGTTTTAGGAAAAAGCAGGTAAGTACTTGCACATTTCTGCATTGTTTAAAAGATTTTCTGCTTTCAAATCTAAATACAAATGTAGCCCTCTCAAAGAGACCAGGAGGTAAACACTAATTCCTCTCTCAATGCTTTGGATTCAATCTTAATCAAGGAATCTTCCACATCTTAGTGAATGTATACCTATTGTAACTATGTTTTTAAATTATGTACTTATCATGTTCAGGCCACTTTGTTCAAGATATCCCACAGTTACCAAATGATTTCTGGCTGTAATTCTGTTCAACAAATTCTGCTCTGCTTAAATTCTGAGCTATGCTTAAAGTTCATGTTCTCACTTGCCCTTAAACTCATGGCCATAATCTCCAGTATGTTGCCCTTCATCAGACTGTACATGAGATGGGCTGTAGTTATTTCTTCACTAATGATGTACAATGTCTTCACAGCATCACACAACTTTGGGTGATGGATTTTCCAGTGACAGAAGATGAGACAAGAAGATGACAGATGACAGAAGAAGTGGGAACCAAGTCAAGGAAATCTATCTATGCTTTTCGTAACTTTGGCCTGCAGTAAGTAAACAAGGACAGTGGCATTCACCAGCCTCATTACTGTGGCAGAATAGGGATCAGCAGCAAGCAGCACACATTATATAGCCATATTTTTCTGCTGGTTTAAGGATTAGTGAAAACATAGCATATTAACTGAAGAATACACATACACACAAACACACATTCAATTACTGTAGTATTTGACTTCCAAGTTACAAAATGGCAAAGCCTAACAGATTCTGTTCATGAGATTGCTCTAGGATGGTGTTAGAATGAGAACCAAAGCACTACTTCAACCCTGATTCGGCTAAGGACAATCTGAAGCTACCTCAATCATGAGAAAGTGGCAGGAAAAAAATGGCCGGGTCTATTTATGGCATGGTTATGTATGCATCAGAAAAGAGTTAGGCTCTAGGAACAGAAGCAATTGGGACAGTAAATTTTATGCTAGTATAATTTTTTGCCAATTCAAGAGAGGATAGATAGCATTATAATTCAATAGTAGGAAAAAGCTCAGTCAGGAAGTCCTACATGAATGTTTCTTGGTGCAGATTTTCATTCTATATAATGCCTTTTTGTAGCTCAGCTCATCTTGTTTCTGTTCTTTATAGTCTGTATTCTTACCTGTCAACATACTCACTAATAGAGAAAGCCTGGGAAAGCAATCAAAACATGTTTTGTTTAAAACAAATGAGACCAGTATATCTTTTACTTATGTCATTTCTCTCCCCAGCTTTAGTAAGATAAAAGAACTTGAATTTTCATCTAAGTCCATTAGTCAATTTGTCTCTTTCCCTATGACTTTTATGATTCACTAATTTTTTGATTCAATTTTTATCTTGTTTCTCAGTGGGCTTGCTTTCCAGATAGGAAGAGCACAATGTGAAATAGTTGAAACAAGGCTCTGGGAAAGCTTTGGAATCTGAAGAATTTCCTAGTGGAATGGGCAGCAGCTGAAGTTTCCACTGTCTGGACCTCCATAATATGAAATGACGAGAAAATTTAACATCAGACTGACTTTGCTACTATGGAAAGCAGATGTCTATGTATTTTTTATTCACTAGACTTTCAACAAGGATGTCAGACTGTGGGAGGAAATCACCAATTTTGTGGGAGACTGGATTGTACTCATCCAGCAACCATCTTATTTATCTGTAAGCTGTTGTTGTTAAGTGGAGCGACTGTGATGGCAGTAGAACAACATTGCACGTGGAAACACATGAATGTAGCCCTGCTGTCTAATGTTTTTGCAGATAGCATCATGAGGTTTCCAGTAGAAAGCATGATATGAGAGGGAGGCTTGATACTACACTTTTGGAAAAATACTTAGGATCATGGCGTACAAACTGATTTAAATCTTCCCCAATACTTAAAACAGTTTAATATAACCTAATACAGTTTTCCATTGCCTTCTTCTGAAATATTTTTCAACTTTTTAGTCTAACCTTCATATTTGTGGGTGATCCCTCATCAAAGTACTCACAAGGTCTCAGTCTCCTTTTTTTTGAGGTCAGCTAGTTGCTCACATCTAGTCCTATATACTTCCTGTTATCAGGCATTTAGTTGCTTATACATTTGTATCTCATGCTTTCTCCAGGAACTCAAAGCAGTGTATCTAATGGCCTATTACTCACTATAATATTTAAAATGATTATGCAATACCTACAAATGTTAATTAAAGGATATAGTAAGCACTGTTGGTCTTTGCTTTGGTTCACCATCTTGTATTTTAGCCAACATTCCATAAAAAGGGGGTACAGTTAGACATCTCAATTATAACTCATAATTCGGTCTTCTGATGTTTGAATGAATGCATGCTTGGTTCCTACAATCTAGATGAGGAAAAGAACTGTTGGAGCAGAATATGAACTGCATTAGAGTCAAGTATTTATTTAACACAGAATGCAATTACCACTAAGGACCACTACTGAAGCAGACAACATTATTTTCAGATATGGAATCTGATCCAAAGCTATTTGTATTTGTTTTATGTGCTGACCTGAGGTTTGTTTTGCATACTTCTAGCAGCACAGAGAGGGGCAAAAAAGATGGAGGGAAGAGAAGATGGAAACAAACAGGAACTAGCTATGACTCTTTCCTGATCCTTTTTAAAATACTACAAACATCTTCCTCTGCAGCAAATTTAGAACAGAAAATTAAGTTATTTCCTGCCTCAGTCATTTCTTGACGTGTTTAAGAAAACTTGAGAGGAAACAGGGTAAATATAAATATGCAAATTGAACTGTGTCTTACATTTGTCCATAGGTTCTCAAAAGGCAGGTGCTTTTTTCATCATAACTGTGGTTTTTGTCAGTGTGGGTCATACTTAATTGCAAACCAAGAAATACATCTTTCCTTTCTTGCAACATTATTGTAAAAACTCATGTCCAAGATCCCCAGAACTCCTTTTTTGGACAAAAGTATTCAAAACAACAGACTAATCATGGAAGTGAAAATGAAATATTGCTTTATAAGGTGATCAAATTCAGGATCCAATCAGTCACTAGGACCAAAGATTTATTTTTCCAAGCTTTGAGGATTGGGCTCATCTTCTTGCAATCTGGTGGGATGAGAAGACCTGAACTCATTGGTAGCCTCACACTGCAATGAACAAGGATATGCATTCAATTTCACAGCTACTATGATTGTTGGCCAAGCAAGGACAAAAATAGCCAGAGAAATGATTGAAACCTGGGAAATGGGCCCTTTATCAGTGAAAAGGAGTGCTGATTTACCATCAGCTTATCAGGTACTTAGGAACGGAGAACACAGCAGCACAAGGAAACAAGCCACCCATCAACATCCTAATTAACAACTAAAAACTACAACCAGGCACCATATAACTATAATCAGTAAAACAACCCAGTGCACATATTCTGGAGAGAGAGAGGTTTCCTGATGATGGGCTCCAGCAGTCTGAAAGCTTGGAAGAATAAAACTTTGGTTATGGAGACTGACTCAAGTTGGATTTTGCAACATTATCTTGGAACACATATATTTGCCTTCAATTGTGATCAAATTCAGCCAATGTTTAACAATTGTGTTTAACAACTGTAATCAGTGATATTTAAGAAATCTGAATCAAAAGGAGAGTGATTTTGCAACTTTTTTGGCAGCGCTGAAAATTGTGCTCCAGTAATCCCATGACCAATTTTTAATTAATTTTTCAAATAATTAAAACAATATGATCAAATATTGATGACTGTAGTAAATCTTTCCCAGATGGGAATAATTACACTGACTGCAATTTGGCAGATGAAAAACCAAAATATGGGAGATGTTTCTTTCAGTGCTTCATATTCTTTTTTTTCTTTTCTGCTTCTTGTTCAAAGAACACATTTTCATCCCTATGTATGTTGACTTGACCTCAACAAAGACATAATTTCAGCAGAACATGGTGCACTTGTTATAGTTATCCAAACCTACTAAGAGAATAAAACAACAATTTTGGGTACTTTTAATTCCTATGTGGAGTGTTTACACAGACAAACACTACAAAGGTTATTAGCAGTTACAAAAACTGAAGCACATGGATTGATTTGTATATAGATGCTGTGGTCATTTTTCGAAGTAGTTACTTAGGACATTTAGCTGTACCCAGCCATCACTGAAAGGATATAAAAACTGTTAAGTTGGCACAATAATGGCTGGATGATATCAGAAGACACTATAAATTACTAATGCAGAACTGACCTAGGTGGCAACACTTTGTGATTATTAGCTTAATATGTAGTGTTCTACTGTGACATGTTCCTGGAGCTTGGGAATTACACTGCATGTCCTACTGAGAGCATAACATTATATTAAAAAAAAATCCCCCAAATTCTTCTGGAAGGAGATTTCTGGATAATACTAACAAAAAAAAAAATCTGTGGTGGATAGTATTTAACCTTCCTTCAAACAAATCTGCAAAAGACTTGGAAATGATATTTTTTGTAAAGGTTTTAAAAATCTGGGGGAAAGCTCACTAGATTGGAAAAGAATGTGAAGAAAGCACTCATTTATATTCCACCTTTATTATTTTTACAAATAACTCAAGGCAGTTATTTGTAAAAATAATAAACATAGCTTCCTCCACAACAACAATCCTATGAATTGAGATGCCCTGAGAGTGACTAGCCCAAAGTCATCCAGCTGGCTTTCATGGCTAAGGTGGGAATCGAACTCATGGTCTTTTGCTTTCTAGCCTGGTGCCTTAACCACTAGACCAAATTGCTTCTCCTACCTCCTAACTTTTACAACAAATATGCAACATTGCTGAGAGATGTGTTTGTGTTTTGTTTAACTTCTAATATTTTGGTGAAGCTTCCAACAATGGTATGCTTTTTTCAAAGAAACACATCTGCAAGAAAACAACCAAGCTCAGAGGGCACCAAGGATCCCTCAAAGTTTCTTCACTTCTCTTTACTTTCTAGAACACTCATGTGACTGTATAATGTTGTATGGTCACATAGTCATTCCAAAAAGTATGAGAAAAAATACCTGTACTGTGGTAATGTGCTGGATTTTTTTAAATCTAAAGTAAACCCTCAGACACTGCAATATTTTTTAAAAGTGCAGATTCGTCCCAGTCCAATAGTCTAATGGGTAGCTGCTTTTAGACTTAAAAGCAAATTCTTACAAAAACATAACAGAAGCAGAAAATTGTCTTGTAGAAAGAGGCAGTCGAATGATTGGGGGTGAACAGGAAGGCTGGGGCATCTGCAAAGATTTTTGGCTCCAATGGCATTACACAGGCCCTAAATCCTACTCCACTGTGGTCCTAGCCTACTGTATGATAGTTTTACATCATGACCTTTAGAGGTGCTGAAAAGTTTCATGCCCCTGTCCAAACTTCTTATAATAAGTATTATGGAAAGGGTAGTAGGTTTGGGGGAATGTATTCCATGAAATTAAAGAACCTTTAAGTTATTCAATAAAAGGCAACAGGACAAAAATGGTTGTTGTTTTTTAAAAAAAAACACAAAAAACCCCTTTCTTCAGGATAAAACTGTGCACACCTATGCATTTAGAGAAGAGGTTTCGTTCAAAATCCAAACTTTTGTGGTATCTTTGGGGGAAAACTTATTTTAGCCTACAATTGCATCACAATCAAGGAATGGTTCAAAAGAGTGCCAATTTCCTAAGAGACGGTCAGCCGATTGCAAACTAAAGTTGATGGCTCCCCAATGATCTGTTTCTAATTTTTTCCTTGCCAAGATCCACACAAAATAAATGCTTTTAGTATTTCTATACAGAGTAGCCAACAATTTGAAGACAGGGTCTCTTGAAAATTTCTGGGGAATAAATGTGTATTGTTGGCTATCAAAGCTGTTCATGTAACATAATGAAAATGGACAATGGTTCTGAATATGTTAACTAAAATTCCCAACAGCCCTATGACAATGGCAAAGTTATTTAGCAACTGCTCGCTCAGAGTTTTAAAGATATTTTCCAGACTTGATAGCTTCTAAATGTGGGCATTTCAACTCCTAGAATTTCTCAGCCAGCATGGCCATGTTGAGAATTCTGTAAGTTACCGAGGCTGGTAAACTCTACTGTACATACATAAAACAGAGTGAAGAAGATGGAAACTCTCTTGGATGAAATGGAGCTTATTTCATCCAGATTGATTTCATCCAGAATTTAAGGTTTGATCTGTCACCAAAATTGCTATGACCATTTTCTGGATGAACTTCACTGGGAGAAAGACAAATTTCTTGATCCCAAAGGTGCTTTTTGACCTCAACAAAGCTTTTGGGATAATTATGACCTGGATGATTGAAAATCTCCATAGACAAAATTTCTTAATCTTTCTGAATATCTTGGTGACTTATAATGCTACCAGCTATGCCATCCTTCAGGAAAAATTATCCAAATTATTTATGGGAGGACATCCAAATGAACTCCAAAAGGTGGTGCTAGGGATTTCTGCTCAATGTCATGGTGTTTATGCTGTAGGGTTTTATTAGCTGTCATGTTCTTCCCATATTTATCTAATCTATGAAATAATCAAACGCTAATCACACACTGCTTTATCTCTCCTTTTGCTCATATCAAGGAAATGCTTAATCAATGACTGGATACAGTGGTAGACTAGATAAAAGTCAATCAGCTGACATTCAGTCCAGACAAGACACAAGTACTGATTTATCTATTCATTTGATTGGTTAACTTATTTTGGAAGGAAATGAATTCAGTCCCACAAAAGTTCATATTTTGAAATCATCTCTAGATCCATCTCGGTCATCAGTGATGTAAGTGTCTTCTGTGGCACAAAGTGCTTATGTTGGTGTATCAGGTATACAGTATTTGGATAAAGGTTATCTCACTAAATGATCCATACCCTAGTAACTAAATGCTGCCGTGTGCTCTCCACTGTAGTGCTGGACCATTATTTCTCTGTGCATTGTCTTGTGCTACTTGTTAGTCCACAGTTAAGGATCCTTAAATTTAAACTTAGTATAGGAATGTCTTTAACTCCTTTACAATCCCTCTTTGACACTACCTACCATGTTGGCTGGGGAATTCTGGGACTTGAAGTCCACACATCTTTAGATTGCCAAGTTTGAGAAACAAATATTCTCAGAACTTTAATCACTTCTATTCATGCTTTTTCTCTCCATAGCATGCGTGTTTGTGTGTGCAGGGGTATGTGCATATCCATGTTTCTTTTCCAATCCCTAGGCCACAGACTGATGCTGGTCCATGGCATGTTAGTAACTAGGTCATGCAAGCAGAGGGCGAGCAAGCAACGCTTCAACTGCACATGCATGAGATCTAAATTACACACAAAATTATCCCCTCCCCCAGAATGTTGTCTGGATAAGAGAGAATTTTTTTAATTATCTCACTCCTTTTAATGAAGCAATACTGCATTGTATAGTCATCTTTAACTACCTTGGTTGCTCCTTTTACTTTTAATTTATAGTGTATTTTAAGAATGGTACTTATTTTATTATATATTGTAACTAAGGTTCCAAATTTAATTTGAAGCCACTCAAATTTTGGAAGGATAGCATACAACATGTTAAAATAAATATATGAATGTAATGTACATGGTATGAACAATGTATGAAATACATGCTTTATTTATATTTATTTTGCAGTAGTATAAGTGTCCATAACAAGTATAATTTTCTATGCAAAAATCTTGGAAGAGCAGGTCCTTCTGCAATGCCCTACTCTTGATGCTGAATAGTCTAGCTTTTTCTACTGGCATACCCAATATATTCTTGGGTATGTGAATCCAACAAAATGAGTTTCAATCTGGAGAAAAGCAAAGTTTTACATTTAGGCAGGAAAAAATCAAAGGTACAAGTACAGATTAGGCAAGACCTGGCTTAAAAACAGTAACTGTGAAAGGGACCTTGGAGTCCTAGTGGACGATCACTTAACCATGAGCCAGCAGTGTGCAGCAGCAGCCAAAAAACCTAATACAATCCTGAGTTGTATAAACAGAGGCACAGAATCAAGATCACGCGAAGTAGTACTATTTTATAAAATCCTAGTAAGACCACACCTGGAATACTGCAGCCAATTTTGGTCACCATTATCACAAAAAAGATGTTGACAGTTTGGAAGCAAATCAGAGAAGAGCAAGTAAGATGATCAAAGGCCTGGAGATTAAAACATACAAAGAACAGCTGCAGGACTTGGGTATGGCTAGCCTAAAGAAAAGAAGAAATAGGGGAGACATGATAGCAGCGTTCCAGTATTTGAGGGTCGGCCACAAAGAAGAGGGGGTCATGTTATTCTCCAAATCACCAGAGGGCAGGACAAGAAACAATGGTTGGAAACTGATCAAAGAGAGAAGCAATCTGGAATTAAGGAGAAACTTCCTGACAATGAGGACAATTAACCAGTGGAACAATTTGCCTCCAGACATTGTAGGCACTCCATCATTGGAAGTTTTTAAGAAGAGACTGGACAGCCACTTGTCTGAGATGGTATAACTTCTTCTGCTTGAGCAGAGGGCTGGACTAGAAAACCTCCAAGGTCCTGTCCTATCCTATCCTATCCTATCCTATCCTATCCTATCCTATCCTATCCTATTGTATGAATGGAAGGATCTTTGAGTTCAGAAAGTGAACACTAAATATTAGAAACCTAACTTTTCCCCCATGAATCTGTCAGTCTCTGTATAAAATAGGAGTAGTACCTTTGAAAGTGTTTTTCAGCCCTGAGTACCACAGTAGTATTTTTCGGAGCAATAAGAACATGGTTGGCCCTTACATGCTTCTTCTTGGCCCTACACAGAGGGTACCTCTTCCAGAAGGCTAAGTCATCTTTATTTATTTTAAAAATTATCCCACATATTTCTGATGTTGATTCTTTAAATATTCAATATTAACTCATTCTTCTGCAATAGGAGACTGGGCAGTTAGCAGTCTCATTCCTTTGGAGAAGGTGAACAAATAAGTTATACCTGCTTTGAGTGGTGAGTGTGAGTGTGTGATTCCTAGGGTTTGTTTTTAATCCCTTGAAACTATGGACACGTAAGTTTCAGTCCATAGTCACAATGAAATGAAAATGGTGACATATGCATCATCCTTTTGTAGTTGTGTTGCAACGTTATCCAAAAGGATATAAATGCAAGAGTTTGCATCATGACATTATGATGCATGTTTCATTACTTGCCCCCACTCGTCATCTTCTTGCAAACAGTAACAAGAAACACCTTAAGTTTAAAACTTTGAAAACCTTCCAGCTGGTACAATACAGCCAGATCCCTTGACTGCAATATGGAGATTACATCTGCATCACTCCCAAGTTTCCCCAGACAAAATGGTCTTCCTCTGTTGGTTAAGAGTTGCAATATGATCATAGCTGAACAGTCACAATATACCCTCCTTCACTCTGTATAGAGCAAATAATAACAACAAAACAAATAATAATAATAAAAGTTGGAAGAGACCTTGGAAGTCATCTAGTCTAACCCCCTGCTCAGGCAGGAAACCCTATACCATTTTGGACAAATGGCTGTCCAGTCTCCTCTTAAAAACTTCCAGTGTTGGAGCATTTACAGCTTTTGGAGGCAGGTTGTTTTACTGGCTAATTTTCTAATAGTCAGGAAGTTTCTCCTTAGTTCTAGGTTGCTTCTCTTTGGTTAATTTCCACCCGTTGCTTCTTGTCCTGCCTTCAAGCACTTTGGAGAATAGCTTAACTTCCTCTTCTTTGTGACAGCCCCTGAGATATTGGAACACTGCTATCACGTCCTCCCTTGGGCTTCTCTTCATTAAACTAGACATACCCAATCCCAGCAACCGTAACCAGTAACCAATCCAGTAACTTTCCTTCCCACTTACTGAAAAGGTACTTAATATAAATTATAACAGGCATGTCAAACTGCTGGCCCGCGGGCTGGATGCGTCACGCAGAAGCCTCGCCCACCCCATTGCCGGCAATGGGGAAAAAAATCACGATACGTCACATGACATCATGTGACGTCGCAAGTTTGACATGCATGAATTAGAAGAAAAGAACCAACCAACCATTTTCCCATGTATCATGGGGCAGCATCTTAAATAAAAAGAACATTTCAGATGTTTTGTTTCATATATTTGCTTGTAATGTTTCCTATTTTGTACAGACCAAATATTTTGTACAGACCCAATCTACAAGGACTAAAGTGGCTAACAAACAAACTCAGAAGGTGAAATAGAGCAATAGAATTTCCGGTCTCAACTGTGTTGTTAAGTACTGAATAACTGTACTGGATTCTTTCACTAGGCAGGAAGTTTGATCAGATGACCTGTACCATCCCTTCTATCCTTCCCTGCTATGGCTCTAGAATTTGGTATAGGCTGAGTCAAAGTAGCCTATACTGTATGCTGATGATTCATAATATCACATGAACCTATAAAAATACTGAGCTAATTGGGCAACTTAACTATGATGAAGCTAGTCATGAGAAAATCTTGCAATCAACCTTCCTTAAGTTTTGCTCTGCTTGGGTTTTGTTTTTGTTTTTGTGGTTCAAATCGCAAAAAAAATGTATTTTTATAGCTTCAATGTATAAAGCATTCTCACACACTTAATTGATTTCTAAATTCTGTCACCAAGATGGAGAAAACGAAAGACAATAAGCAGCAATAAACCAGTGCAGAAAAAGTTTGAATTAACACATTTTCTAATTTCCTCCTCTGAATTGTCTTTTCAATAAACTTAACTCTAAAAGGAAAGTGAAATCAGAAAAAGAGAACCAAAAGCAGAACAAAAATAGGATTCTTAGTACGTTTCTGGAACTGATAGTCAAAATCTTTATATAATGGCAATTCCCACTCAACCCCAGAAAGAAATTGGAAAAAGATCCTGCCATATTTGTCTTAAAAAGATGTTGGAGTCAAGATTCAGTTCTGAGCTGTGCCATATGAAAGAACTTCAAAAAATACAGTATGTGGATAAAATATAACGTTTGATTACTGCCCATGCAGCTAGCACATAGTGTCCTCTAGTGGCTGATCCACATAGGTGGAGAAAGAGTCACCAAAAACCCTTTCAGAAGAGCTTGTATTGTCTATTTATTATCTACTAGGAGTTGTGAAAGAAGCCTCATTCACTCAAGCTTTGCAAATACTACATAACATTACCGTAACAGTATAAACTAGGCTTTTGTTATTTGGGAGCCACACATAATTGTTCACAACAGCTGTGATCATTTAGTCTTCTAGTGTTTAATATTTTAACATTTTTACTGTTAGATGCCCAGAGCGACTGGTTTGCGATGGGCAAACATTTAAGTTGAATGAGCAAATGAATTGATAAATAATTAAGATCACAAAGGATAGAACAAACAAATTTAAATGCCTTTTCTCTGCTACAATAGTTCAGAATTTCTCCAAAATTGTGATCTCTACTTGTTTTAGACTACAGATCCCATCATTTCTATCTCCAGATTATGCTGATTCTGGGGATAAAAAAAGAAAGTATATTTATGGAGGGTTTCACCAAATATATTTCCTTCAAATCTTATTGTTCTTATTTAACTACTGCATATTAATATTGAGCAACACTATCATCAACAAAAGGTCTCTTGCACATATTATTTGAAACTAGAGGAATATTCAAAACAAAGTAACTCATGCTCCTTGCAGATACTGAAGAAAGAAAAGCAGGAAACAAGGAACTACTTTTGAAGCCTATGAAAAATTGCAGGGAGACCGGAAAATGCAATAAATTAATGATAAATACATTTTATGGAAGGTCTTACTCTGTAAGACTTTTACGTTCTTACAACTTGCATCACAGGAAAATGGCTATGCTGATTATGTGGAGGTTTTGTCGCCTAAAGAAAAAAAAAGGCCATATCAGTTTTCACCCTTTAACTGTAGGGTGAAGGTTGATAAACTTCATCATTTTCTCAATGAAGAAAAGCCTCAAATTAGCAAGGGTTCCAAAGATATGATGCATAGATTTTAAATTGGCTGTGTTTTATTCATTCCTTTTTTCTGGAAATAAATGAATGGAAAGAGATGAACAAAATTAACTCCATGTCATAGTACTGTGTTTCCCTGAAAATAAGACCTATCCAGAATAAAAGCATTAGCTTGATTTTTATGCATGCGCCTAATATAAGCCCAATCCCCAATTAAACCCTAGTTTTGGGGCGAGTTGCACACGTAAAAAGCAAGCTAGGGCAGGAGTGGGAGGGTGGAGTTGCCCCATGCACCCACACCCGCTTACCTTAGGACTGCTGCAGCCAGGCCTCCCAAGCCCCAACACCTATTGCGCCATTGCCCATGTTCTGTGGCCATTCGCGACAGAACATTGTGTGGTGCTTTGCGCTGGTGCCACTGCTTGTGGCAGCATTTTCCTCACCTCTGAAAGAGAGAGGTACTTGTGAGAAACTTGTAACTTCAGGACTCTTTTCTAATTCTTGGAGGTCCTCCTACCATGACTGATAAAAAAATCAGGCAGGGCTTAATAGTAGTATAAGTCCTAAAATAGCCATTTTACAGGAAACACATTTCCCTAAACTCATCTCTAAAATCAATCTTAAGCACTTTTCCAATGTAGTCCTACCAATTTGTGGCCATCAGTCCCCAGAAATATGCACACCTGAGTTTTGATCTCCAAATACTTACCCATCCCTTCTTTAAAACTAAACTGAAGTTAGGATAGGGGTGATGGCGTAGGGGTTAAGATGATGGGCTTGTCAACGGAAATAGTTGGCAGTTCAAGACCCAAGTTCCACATGAAGGGGTGAACTCCCATTCTTGTTTCAGCCTGCCCACCTAGCAGTTTGAAAGTATGCAAATGCAAATAGATAAATAAGTACTACTTTGGTGGGAAGATAACAGCATTCCATATGCCTCAGCGTATAATCACGCTGGCCACATAACCATGGAAACATCTTCAGACAATGCTAGGAAATGGAGATGAGCACTGTCCCCTAGAGTCAACCATATAGGGAAACATTTACCTTTAAAATAAAGTGAAATATTTCAGAGGAAACTCTTGGCTTCCAATAAGGGTTACAAATGAAATTAAGGGCAGACAGATATGTTTTACTGGCAAGTTTCATAAGGCTTCCAATATCCATGGCCCTGTTCAAAATACTGAAAAATAAATCTTGTTCAATATTAAATTGTAAAGAATAATTGCATAATGAAAGTAAATGTCATTTATTTTATCCATCAAGTCACTTCCTTTAAAAGTCTCTCACAAAGTTGAAAAAGGATAATGACCACACATTTTAAACAGCAAGAAGGAAAAGGACAGGGAATTGGAATAGATAATCTCCAACGTTCTTTTCACTATTTCCATTCTGATTCTGTGAAAATTATCTGTAAATAAATGAAGTAATTTACAAAATGGCAACCATTAATTCAACAGGGGTATATATTATCTTGAATACAGATAAGCAGATGACAGAATTTAACCTATTTTGGATGATCTAAAAAAAAAAGCTCAGAGTCAGCAGACTTGAATCTAGTTAGTAATTCAATAGAAGATGGCAAGAAAATTGCAGGGGTATAAGGCAAGGTTAGTGGCTATTCTATTGTCTTCTTCATACTAGACAAATACTTCCCAGTCTTTGAACATTTAATTTAATTTTCTTCATCTATGCCAGTGGTCGCCAGCTCTTCCCAGGGCATCTGAGTGGCATCTGAATATGGCATGTATCTCAATGCTGAAAAAACTCTTTTTTTGCAGATTTCTATCAGTTGCAGTTGTGGAAAAATATGCAGCTATTTTAGAGATCTTTCCTTAGATAAAATAGTTTCAGAAAGGAGAAAACATAGTGTTATATTCCTTGGCCTGTAAAAGAGAGAGTTAAAGTAGACAGACAGAAAATCTATTGATTAATATAAAGTATCATTATTTAACTCGACATATCCTTAACTAGAAGCAAGTAACAGTGCTGGTTCAGAATCAAAGTACACGCCACAATATGACAATGAGTCACAAAAATGACCCCTGTCCTGCTTGTCTTTCACAGACACCATTTTTCTGCATTTCCAAAAAACTTTAGTATCCACTCTGAGGTCATACATCATATACATCATGCATTAGTCTGGTTTTACTTGAGATGATGCATAAATCCAACCAACTGTGGCTTGTTCAACAGCTTACACATTTTTTATTTTATACACATACTGCTTGAAACTGAGTTAGCATATTGCAGTAAACCATAACATGGTATATTTAATTTTGGTCCAATCCATTTGTTTGATTTGTAAACTGTAACTTTTGACCCAGATTGATACTTATAGACACAAACATAAAACCTCTGGTGATTGAATGAACTGTGCTAAAACAAGCTAACACTTAGGTTAGAGAGTGAGTTTAGCTTTTTAAAGAGACAGCTGCCAACAGCTAAAGAAAGTTTATTGTCTTCCATTGAAACCCTAGGTTTATTTCCTGCAATCAAAGAGTAACCAATAGATCTTCAGCAAACCATAAAGATGCAAAAATCATGACACATAATTTGTTATCAAATATTGTACTGCCCTTACTTTCTTTGTCCCAACATCTGGCATAATTACATACAGTAAACCACAGTATATGATGATATTATCATGTAGGTATCATATTTGCTCCCCTTTGCTCTCCATACCCATGAAAGTAATCTCAGAATACTTAGAATTATTTTGTCAATCTACTTCTAGTGCCATTGGTAGACATTTCTGCTTTTGTTTAAAAAAAGGGGGATCCGTTGTTTAAAAAGAAAATACTTCTGCTAATCTGATGTTCTGTTGGTTAAAAATGCTAACATTTTGCACACAGCATTCCTTAAATTGCTCCCACTCATTGCAATGTAGAATCTCTATATGAGAAACCAACACAACCTTTACTTATGACAGGATAAAAATAGATGGCCTGGATCAAGATCAGCCCAGTTTAAAGCACCCTGACCCTAAAGACAAAGCTTCTCACAAGAGGATTGTGTGCTTTATAAACAAGAATACTAGTGTTTACATTGTTTTGGAAAAGTATCCCGAGCTGTGCTGATTCAGTACAACAAATACATTTGACTTCCTCCTGTAATGCTTTTTAACAATCAGCCCTTTGTTGCATACTGATGCTCAGCTTTTTTCTGTCCTATTGTTTTTTAAAAAAAACACCTGCTCACACACAAATGAACTCCAAGCAAAAGACTGTGAGGGCTTTAAGAGTTTAAATGGCTTTAGCTCATTTTTTCTAATATATGCTGCAGTAAATTACCATCCAGCCACTATTTAGAGTTGGCATACTAATGCTTGGTTTGCACGTGAAGGACAGAATTTCCATTCAGTGCAGCATGTAAGGCAGCAAATTAAAATTCAAGGTGTGTCTGAATTTTAAGGGCAGCGAAGGAAGGCTTTCTTGGAAGAATAGGGTTACAATCATTAAGCTAAAGAAGTAAAAGAGAAGTGAGGTGGCTTTTGATTTCCTAAGAAATCTTCACTAGATGAATGCTAAACTGAAAGGATGGAAGAAGGAAAGGCACAAATTTGTTTTAAACTACAGAAAAAAAATTCTAGAAGAATTATGTGATTCAGTTGATTTAATCATTTGCTATTAATAGAATGGTTTATTAATTAGTCTTGCAACCTTATCAATAAAGAAAAATAAAATACATAATCTGACTCCAGGATAAAAAAAAATGCTATTAAGTGTGATCACTTTTGCCTCTATGTGTCTTTCTTCAAAGATGCTTTCCTCCAGTCCTTAAATCATCAGAAAAATGCAGTGGCTTAGTTTGCAAGATATTTGTGCAGAACCAGAGCGAAGTTGGACTATGATTAAACCTGTCACTGGGCAATTATCAAACTTTGTCTTTTCCTCATCGCACCTTAGTGAATATTTTTGCTGATGGCTGATGACCTCTGATGTGAGGGCAAATTAAGGCATCTTGCTTTAACTTGTCCAGCAACAAACAGTAAGGACAGCACTACATCTTGGTCTCATCACTCAGAAGGAACAGGACACAATGATCAGTTTTGCCCTCTGTAATTAATTTCATGGTGGACTCTCACCTCCTCTGGATGAACTAGGATTGGGGGCAGAGAAGCAGTTCTTGAAGCTTGTAGCAGCCTAATTGAAAAATGTTGGATAGGGAATTCTGGGAGCTGAATTCCACACACCTTAACGTTATTGAGTTTGTGAACCAATGGTCTAAAACATGTCAAATTGGCAGCCCACAGGCCAGATGTGTCACGTGCAGGCCACGCCCACCCTGGCTCTGCAAAGGAAAAAAATAAAACAATATGTCATGATACATCACGTGACGTGATCGAGTTTGACACCCATGGTCTAAAGCTATCCTAGTCAGATGCCACTATGGGAGTATGTCGTTCATTGTATCACCAATGAGGTACAGAGGTATGATAAGCTTAAAAATGCTTTTAAAGTGAAACAACTAAGAACCAATGTAATATAGTCTGTCTCTACAAACAGGCTGGGAATGAGACAAAGGCCATCCTACAAGAATGGGTCCTTCCACATCAGCTAGTGAGGCATTATTTTGCTACATTTAGCAATGTGTGAGGACATGACCTGTATCATTATCTCAGTAGCAAATGTGTTTCCCTGTTGCTATTTATTCTATTGCTATTTACTCTATTTCTATTATTTCTGCTGCTATTTATTCATTTATTAATGAAGTTTCTCTATAGAGTACAAATAAGTGCTGCCATCCAAATGAACTACAGAACTATCAGTGGCATTTTAAGAACAATTACAATACTGATTTCTAGCAATTCTCCCAGATTCCTGAGTGGAACAAGTGTGTTAATCAGCCATTCCTAAGCATGTGCTAGACTCCAACTCCCGGAATTCCCATGGGCAATGGATTTTGAGAATAAACCCCAGCACATTTGAACAAGAATCAGTCGTGGAAGCCTTAATTTCTCCTCCTAATTCTAGGCTCAAATGAGAGATCCAACTCATTTCTATCAGTTTCAATAGCAGCTATAACAAAGGACAAGTCCTAACTGGAAGCCAGCCACACTCTGAATGGATCTATTCGGGTTGCTAAGCTGAATTCATTAAGCACCATCAAAAATATATCTATCTATTGCTTTCTAGTAAACTATTTAGAAAGCCAAGAAAGTGCTGATCTTTAGTTCTATTTTGTAAAATAGACGTGCACAACCCTTGGGATACCCTTCCAAATTCTTGGGTATGGCCAGAAACGCTCCAAATTCCCATCAAACCGTCTTTAGTGTAAGAGAAACAGGAAGCTTTAGATGTACACAGAATAACTGAACAGGAAACATTCTATTAATTTGACTTTACAAAACTCTATGAGGTTTTTGGATTTTGTTTTACACTTTCTTAATAAGAAAACTCGAGTCTACAGTTCTGGTATTTCCTGATTGTCTTCCACCTAAGTATTAACTAGGTTTAATCCTGCTGATCTTTTTGAGGTCAGTCAAGGTCATCTAAGCATTGTCAAGGTAGAACTTGCAGAAAGCTATAAAGACAAACCTTGCTCTAGAGCTGTATATAAAATCTGCTTTCATATTCCATTTTCCAGGCCAATAAAAGCCATGTACCAGGCTAACTGATAAATAAATTATATTTATATTTTATATAATCAAATAGCCATAAAATAGTTCATAGTTCAGAATTTCCTCCTATGCATAGTTCAAAGTTTCTCAAACTTAGCAACTTTAAGTTGTGTTGACTTCAATTTCCAGATTTCCCCAGCCAGCATGTTTAAATCATTCAGCCATTGTATTTAAATTGTGTTTCTTCTGCACTGACTTGATTGTGTTGGAGTCACCATTCATACTGGTTACATTTATTCTCAGGTTTGCAAGGAGACTGTGAACAACATACTGCAGATAGTCCTCATTTAGTGGCTGCCTCATTTAGTGACTGTTCAGAGTTAAAACAGTGATGAAAAGTAATTTTGCAACCAATCCTCATATTTATGATTTTCACAAGTCTTTAAAACAAAGGAAAGCTGAAGTAAGATCCTTAGCACTGTCATAATTTCACTTAGTGAACACTTCATTTAACAACTGAGTTGGTCCCAATTGAGTTTGCTAAAAGAGGACTATTTGTAAAATTTTTCCAAGTTGGGATCCTATAACTGTACTATACGTAATGTCTACTTGGGTTTAAGTCTTAGGAAGTTACATTTAAATGTTGCTGTCACATATTGTTTCTTACATTTATATTTAAAAAATGTTTGTTCGGTAATGTGTATTTAGTTCCTTTCAGTCAGTCTTCATAACTACCTGGACAAATCTACGCAATTTTCTGGAAAGAGTTTGCCACTGTCTTCTTCCTAAGGTGGTCTTTTTAAGGGAGGTCCAATTACCATCTCTTTAAAACCTATGGCATTTTGCTCTTCCTTAGAAAAACATTAATAACCTTCTGAATTGAACTGCTGTAATCGTGTTTTTAAAAATCAATTCCAGGAATTTTCTCATTTTAATTTTGGTATTTATTTACAGTTTCACAAAGCAAGCAGAAGAACAACATACTTCCTTTTCCAGTGTGGTCTTCTCAGTCTTGTCTGCACTTGTTTATACCATCATTAATTTACAATAGTTCTTGTTTTAGGTTCCCACTAGAATTAGAAAGAAGCAACAAATGAAGCAATATTAATGGAAATGGGAGGTCAAGGGAAATCCTAGTATTCTTACTAGCAAACATTAGAACTGTTTTACATCAGTTAATACACTGTGCTAGGCCAAAGCCTGAACACACAATGTATGATGCTATCTATTTATTTTTAATTCCCTGCTATCTTTCATAGTCAAGTTTTCCCAGAATAGTTCTCTCCACTAACATCACAAAATAAAGATTCAAATTCAGAAGTTCAACATAAATATTTTTTAAACCATTTCAAGTAATAGTTTGAAGTGTCACTTCAGACCTCACTGCAAATTGTAACAAATGTTGAGTTTTGCATTATGTATTAATATAGATTTGCATGAATATATTTGCATAAAGATAATAGAAAAGAGAAAACAGGAATGCAAGAGGATATGGAACAACTGAATATGATTTTTTTCTGTTATGAATTGATGTCTGAACTATAGTTTGCCAGTGGTGGGATTCAGCCAGTTCACACTAGTTCGGCAGAACTGGTAGCTAATTTTTTGTTGCCCAGGCCCAGAACGGACTTTTGGAAGTGGCATCCACACAGAAAACCAGTTGTTCACTATTTGAATCCCACCACTGGTTTGTCATGTTGGAAGTGAAGAGGACAAGCTCCCAAATTGATAAACACCAAGATCTGGATTGTCTGCATGATAAAGCAAACAATAGATATGTGTCTTCTAAAACTCTGATACATGGATAAGTAATCTATGGTTTTCTACATCTACAACTCCCAGCATCTTTTATCATTGGGCACTGGAAGCTATAGTTAAGCAACATCTTAAGCTTCCAACTTCACTTCTGGTCTAATGGAAAGTGCCTTATAAACTTACAGGACTATTTACAAATCACTTGTGTCAGCATATAATTTGATAGGAATGAAATCTGCTTTCTTATTACTGCTGTAATTCCTATCTTAATTTTACTGCCAATTTCCTGACTTCTCTTCAAGGTAATAGGTGAAATGCCTAACAGGTTGTTCCCAAGCTAAAGCTACCCTTGAACAGGAGAAAATATTATTTTAATGCTGGTCCAGCATAACCAAGGATGACTTCAGAAATTGCCAGGAAGGCAGTTAGCTGCAGGTGGGGAGAGGCCCTAAGGCAAGCCTAGGGTGACTCAGCAGTTAAATAGCAGGATACTTAAAAAGACATTTTAATCTACAGACTATAATATATTTACATTTAAGTTAAATGACAGTATAAAATAAGCAGAAATACAAAACTTTTTAAGTATTAAGCCTTTTTATAGAGCGATATAATTAACACAAAGGTTATGCAGCTCTGACAATGGCAAAATCATTATTTGAAATCTTCTTACTAACACAGATAATGAGTAACCGGAGAAGTATTTCAATTTAATATTGAAAAAAATCCTAAATGCTATTCATAATTTTGACTGAATTGAAGTAATTTTCATTTTATTTACATTATATGTTAAATTCCAATGACAGCAGCTTCTAGATACCTGTAGTGGAGTTAAATATATGTTACATTATTGGTTATTTGTACAAGATTATTACTATTCAAACACTTCATTCAGAGTTGTGTAAAGATTAATTTAAACTTGTTTAGCTGGTATGAATATAAGAAGCATACCTGTAATGCTTTCAGTAACATCTGTACTCTACACTTATTTATCTTGCATGATTTTAAAAAATATATAACATTTATAGGAAAATAATTAATTTAAACACCCAATTCTTACTGGAACATCAGGTTGAATAAAAGCCGTTGGGTTAGGCAAAACATTCATCATAGTTTGAGATACGTATTATTTTTTTATTTCTAGTTTTAAAAATATGTAATTCTGCTCTGAACCCAAAAGCATTTATTTCCCAGGATCACATGAGGTCTATTCTAATATTATCAACCCCATTGCTGAATGGGATCCCTGGAAAAATTCAGGAACTACAACACGTGCTCCTCAGGGAAACCCTTATGTCTTTACCATTATTTTGTTTTCCTCCGATCTTCTTAAAACCCTGAGTCGAATTTAATGTAAAGCTCCTCCTCCTGCCTCCCCCTTCCCCAGCAAAACACACTCCTATCTATGCACAACTATTTTAATCTGTCTCTGAAGCCTTTGGCCGAGTATGGGTTTGGCACAATCTTCATGGTGGGGAAGCAAAAGCACGGGGAAAATCTATTGTTTTATAATTTTGTTACACGCCCCGCAGAGTCGCTTTTCGCGAGACAGGCAGCCATATACATTATTTTATAAATTATATAAATTAAAATATATATACATTTTAAAAAAACTCGAATACTTTCTCACCCCAGCCACGCTTGCAGCTCCCGGAGAGATACTGGGAGGGCGGACCTGCCTCGAAAGCGACCGCTGGGCGGAGCCACCCCTGTAAAAGCCTGACTGGACGGGCCGGTACAACCACAGGAATCCTGACTAACCCAGCAGTTGGAGGTGGCGGCGGCATGGAGAGCGGTCCGCCTGTTTTCGATAAGCCCAAGGTGAGTGAGCAGCTGGTGCGGAGTCTGGCTGGGCGCTTCTCCTAGACACCGAGGAGCCGCTCCTTCTTCGACGGGGAGTTGGAGGGGCTGACGCCCACTGAGACCCCCGCTGGTCTTCGCTTGAAGCCGAGGACTTTCCATTCTGCACTCCGATGATTTCTTGGTTCGGAGCGTGCCGGGGGTCTTGTAATTGGAGAACTGCTTCAGTCCACTCCCCATCTCCGGGACGGCTCTTTCCTCTCATGTATTTTCCTCGTTCCTGACCAGCCTCTTCCCAGCGACTTTCGCCAAAAATGCAGCTCAAGGGTCCTAATGAGTGAATAAAAAAGCTCCCTTTTTACTACCCTCTGGTCCCTATTCAGGGTAGACTAGAGGCAACTGGATGGAACTGAGCGTTTACAGGTAGTCCTCAACTTACAACAGTCCATTTAGTGACTGTTCAAAATTACAACGGCACTGAAAAAAGTGACTTACTACTGTTTTTTGTACTTATGACCTTTGCAGCATCCCCTTGGCAAAATTGAGATGCTTGGCAACTGGCTCATATACAGTATATGATGGTTGCAGTGTCCTGGGGTCATGTGATCACTTTTTGCAGCCTTCTGACAAGCAGTCAAGGGGGAAGCCAGATTCACTTAACAATCATGTTACTAACTTAACAACTGCAGTGATTCACTTAATAACTGTCAAAAAAAGATCATAAAATGAGGCAAAATTCACTTAACGAATGTCTCACTTAACAATAGAAATTTTAGGCTCAATTGTATTTGTAAGTCGAGGACTACCTCAATTTACTAATGTCTGAGTCAAGGAATCCAAATTGCACTTGATTGTCGCCAACCTAACTTGTAGTTTCCCATCTTTTTGACAACAATGCCCTAAGATTGCTATCTCATCCTGCCTTAATTACCGGTAGCACAAGTTGCTTACACTTTATATTTAACCCTTTGACATTTCATCTCTTTCCTGTCTTCATTGCCTCTATTGTCTTTCTGCTGTCACTTCCCACAGCTATCCATCATTTTACTCTGTTGCAGTTTCTTGTTTCTTCAGTAGTTCTGCTTGCTTAATTAAAGAATTATCTTTATTGTGTGATTCCTAGTCTTTGCCCAGCCATATAGCAACATCTAGATGATCTTGGATAATCTTTTGCTCCTAAACTGGAGCTGGCTATGATCACTTTTGGGTAAGGCACCACTAGGAAATATGATTATACATTAGACTGGGAGATTAAAAAGAAAATCCCACAAGGTTATTGTGCATTGTTGCCAAGATGAGTGTAGTATTGAAATTACCTGGGATGAAGTTTGACTTTATCTCTCCAGGCCTTATCTGAAAAATGCAAGTGAATGGCAATGTTTATTCACTTTTGAGGAACACTGAATTCTTTGTGGCCACTGATACCTAAATGTTTGACTAGACATTTACATAATTGATATATGTAAGAATTTTTGTGTTTACATTTTACAGTGTAAGTCTTATATACCCATAGGATAGTCTAATTTAGCAGTTTCTGTTACTGTGCTCGTAAATTACTATCTGGATAGATGTTTCAAAGATAGATTTTTATATGCATTATTTGAACATTTTTGTTATATTTATTTGCCACCCTTCTCACAGTAAAGGCAACTCTGAATCTTTTATTTGATTCATTTATCAAATTTGGAAACCACCTATTTCACTTACAGAGCGATTCAGCAGTGTACAGTTAAAATGAAAAATGTAAATATTATATTCCCACAGGGGGCAGTTAAGACAGGAATAAAATAATAAAAACTGAAAGTTAAAAAGGCAGGGGAGGCCTTCAAGGCGCTAACAAACTTCATAGCTACGTGTTCCTCTTTGAGCCCCAAGCAAATTGGCAAAACCAAATCTTCAGACATTTCTCAACAGCTGGGAGAGTGGGGGCAAACCTTATCTCTGGGAGGGGGAGAATGTTCCAAAGGGTGGGGACCATGGCAGAATAGGCTCTCTTCTTGGACCCCGCCAGTCTAAATTCTTTAACTGATGGAGTCTACAATAGACCCTCCCTGCCTGATCAGATGGGACGGACTGTTGCAGTGTGCTGAAACCGTTTGCTGGAATCTGCTTAATTATTTTCAAACAAGTTTTTGTGAAACTAATGGAATTAGTTAATTCCATTAATTAACCAAAATCAAGAACATCTGTTTCATAAATATAAGTTTTAGCTCTGATCCTATTTAGAACTAATTTAATTTTGAATGAAAGAACATTATTCTAGGCTATAGGATTTTATATTATAACAGAAAGATGTTATCTATATAATCTAGTTTGCCATAATAAGTAATAAAGTTGAAAATAGATTTTATTTTTGATATTTAATGCTTTGTGAAATGTATGATCTATTATCATACATACCCAGGTTATATATTTGACTACTCTAGAGAACCAGATCTAGTGGTTAAAATGCTGGACTAGCAACAGGGAAACCCAAGTTCTAATCCTGCCTTAGATACCGAAGCCAGCTGGGCAAGCTTGGGCAAATCACCCTTTCTCTCAGCCCTAGGGAACCCCTAAGTCAATGGCAAACTACTTCTGAAAATGTTGCCAAGGAAATTGCAGAGGCTTGACTCAAAGGGCATCAAAAAAAAGAACTTCTCAGAATTGCTGATGTATCCAAGAAACAAAAAAATGCTGCCTCGCACAGACTTAGTGATATCATCTAGAAAATTCTTGAGAATTAGTATATGAACAGACATAATTTATAGACACTGGTATCCCCTGCAGAGTTAACTGGGGAGGGGCAAAGGAGCCAGAGTGATGAATGCTACTGTAGGTTGAAGTCTTTTTCCATTGTGCATGCAATCCACAATTACACCTCCTATTTTGCACCCTGTCTCCCCTACCCTTGATTTAAAGATGCTCTGATCGCTTCATGTATTTAGCTAAAATATCTAAGCATATTATTAATCTTTGGCCCTACTTTAGTTCATTGAAAGATTCATTAACTGTCAGCAGTTGAATGATGAAAATCATATACTGAAACTTTCAAACTTATATTAAGATGGGCAGTTGTTTCCCTTAGGAAAATGACTTTCATAGAATGTTAAATATGTGGTATACAGCACAGATTGTAAACATTTTATTTTTGTTTAATGCAAACAGGCACCATAAACCGATTTGTGGGAGAAGAGGAATCACAATTCTCTGTCTTCTGCCCTTATTTTACCCTGCAGCTCTGTTCATTCTTTACTGTATATTTCTCTAAGCAGAGACTTTGTTTTTTTGTTTCAAATTCCATCTTAAACATTAGAGACACTTTCAGTGCTGATCAGTTCAAAAGACAATTAACTCTAAAGTGTGTTCTAAGTGTATGAATTGCAAACAAAAGTCCCTTCTGTCTGTAGAAAGAATTGTGGTATAGTGGAACTTCTGAATAATTGCAATGTTTGAAAGCAGAATGTGAAATTCCCATTGCAACGTTAAAATTATCCCATTAGCAGAACTCAGTTCAAAAGAATTCTGAATTAAGGTTATACTATTTATGTCATATATCCTTTTAATCTGAAACCAAGCCTTTTTATGGTAGCTAAATCTTTTTCCTGTATGAAACTAAACTAAGTTAAAATCTTATGTATGCATAACTAAATATGTTCAAGTGTTCCTCATTCTGCTACACTAGTCTTTTGTTGAATAAACTGACCTAAACTATTTGCATCTTGATCACATTATTTTCGTGTATTGTGACCCTTAGTCATCTTCTTTTGATGATCTAAGGACTTGAGTCTGTAATAAGAATGTACTGTGCTATCTAATTTGTAATTTAAAAAGAACAAATCAATCTCAGCCTAATGGATTCTGACACATTTGGGATGAGGTGATCATTTTTGCTCATGTGTGCATATGTTTGGTACATCAGCTTTATGTAAAGAAGCATTATAGGACTGGTAATGATACTGAGAGATCAGATAAATTACCAATTTTGTGGTATGATTACAGTGACTATAAGACAAGGTTTAGTCTTGTTCAGCCATTAAATCACATTCCAGAAAGAGTTCTTATTCTCTAATGCAATGGTCTTCAACCTTTTTGGCCTTGGTTGGTGAGACATGCTTGCATGCAGCTCCACTTGCGCAAGCAATGGCCAAGCACACATGCAACTCCATTTGCACAAGTGGCGGGCATGTGCGCTGCTGCTTACACACATGGAGCTGCAAGTTTGCCAGCCACTTGCATAAGTGGAGCTGTGGACGCATGCTTGCTTGCCTGCCCCTTCCACTGCCCAGTGCCAAATGGGAAGTGGCCTGCTACTGGGCCATGACTCGGGGTTGGAGACCCCTGCTCTAGTGGTATTCCAAAATTTTACATGTATAACTAAAAGTCACTTCCTAGTGGACTCTGTGGAATGTAGTCCCAAGTAAATGCACAAAAAGCTACAGCCAAAGATTTGGTACCTTTTCCTTCCATTGGAAAAAAATGAATGAAATGAGCAGCATCACTTTATTTCATTTAAATAGTTCCCTAACTTTGAAATGTGCAATCGCTCATTCATTTGTAGAGAGATCAAATAATTGGGCAATCAATGCATTCAAAAATATATATTTCTCATATTTTTGTTATTAGAAGAATAAAATATATAAAAGCTTCAAAAACTATTGAATTGAATGTTTTCTCTAAAAATTAATGTTCGAGCAGACTCATGATAATATGCTGGGCAGGCTAGTAGGACAATATTATTCTAGGTTTGGCAACTAATTAGAAACCATACTGTGTCAGTATACCAATTAATTGACAAAAAATTCTTGATTTTAGTTCTAAAAAGACTGGATGTAATTCTTAACAACAACAACAACAACAAGGCAGGAAGCCCTATACAATTTCAGACAAAAGGCTGTCCAGTCTCTTCTTAAAAACTTCCAGTGTTGGAGCATTCACAGCTTCTGGAGGCAGGTTGTTCCACTGATTAATTGTTCTGTCAGAAAATTTCTCCTTAGTGCTAGGTTGCTTTTCTCTTTGATTAGTTTCCACCCGTTGCTTCT